CGAGTGGGAGGGGCAGAGGGAGAGAAAATCTGAAACAGACTCCACAGTGAGCTTGGAGCCTGGCATGGGTCTTAATCTCATAACCCTGAGGACCTGAACCGAAACCAAGAGTCTGATGCTCACCCAGGTGAGCCACCCAGGTGCCCCTCTTGCAGACTTTAATATAAACCTGTAAGGTTTTCTGTGCTGTGATCACGGTATGCATGCAGTTTTATCATTCAGCAACAGCATATTTCTACAGTCTCACCTTTCCATGTTTCCTCAGGGAGTGCAAAACATCGCCAGCTAGGCATTTAGGGCATTTGCATTTGCCCTACTATTGACATTTTTGCAAAATTTCTTTTGTTTTCTTTTTGACATGATTTTAGAATAGTATGGGGATGTATTTTTTGCTATACTTTATTTTTATTTTTTAAAAGATTTTATTTATTCATTTGAGACAGAGAGATAGCATGAGCAGGGGAGAGGGAGAGGGAGAAGCAGGCTCCCAGCCGAGCCAGCAACCAGACGTGGGGCTTGATCCTAGGACCCTGGGATCATGACCTGAGCCGAAGGCAGATGTTTAACCATATGAGCCACCCAGGCGCCCCTGCTATACTTTAGAAAATTGGTAACTCGGGGAAAAATATGGGCTTTTTTTTTTTTTTAAGGTTTTATTTATTTATTTGAGAGAGAGAGAATGAGAGACAGAGAGCATGAGAGGGAGGAGGGTCAGAGGGAGAAGCAGACTCCCCGCTGAGCAGGGAGCCCGTCGCGGGACTTGATCCCGGGACTCCAGGATCATGACCTGAGCCGAAGGCAGTCGCTCAACCAACTGAGCCACCCAGGCGCCCAGTATGGGCATTTTTTAATGGTATAATGTGTTTCCATGAAACTGAATCTTCTTAGAGAGTTTTTTTTTTTAAACATTTTATTTTTTTTTCTAAGTAATCTCCACATCCAACATGGGGCTTGAACCAACCCTGAGATCAAGAGTTGTTGCATCCTCTACCAACTGAGCCAGCCAGGTGCCCCAAGCATGTTTCATTTTTATTAGACATAGGAGGTATGCCAATTTCATTATTATTACCTCTGCACTTAGAGGCATGTTCAGGGTGCATTAGGAATGTGGGGGAAGGGACTTCAGTGGGAGATGAGGTCTAGCTGCATCTACAGGGGTGAGCAGGAGTTAGCAAGGGGTGGCAAGAGGAAAAGATGAAAGGGAGGTGAAGTATAAAGCCACAGAGTGAACATCTTACTGCAGGATCCACCTACAAGGCAGAAAAGCCACCATTTTCAATCCCAAAGCCAGCTGATGCCATTGGTAGTTGAAAGGGATCATAAGGGCATCCGTTGAAGCTCTACCTGAGGCCCTCTTGCCCTCACCTCAGCCAGTTAACTTTCTGGATTCCACATCTGATCAGGTTGCCTGCTGCTGAAGCTCTTTCAGTGCTCTCATCATTTCAGGGGTGTAGATGGAAATCCTTCCCACGTGTCTCAGGCCCTGCCTGTTTCAGAGCCGCTCCCTCCAGTCCCCTGTGTATAGCACTCTCCTCCCTCTCTGGGCTCCAGGTGCTCAGGCCTATCTTGGGCTCTTCCTCTGCCTTGGCCTCTTCCTTCGCCACTTCCTCGCTCCGGCTCCCTCTGCTTTTCTTGGGGTTTTCTCCCCCTATTGCTGAGCTTCCTGCTACTGGCCTTAGCCTGTGATCAGACCCACTTACCCTGGGTCAAATCCCCCTACAGTGGAATCAGACCTTGATGAGGCTGCTCTCTATGGACAGCATGCAGCTAAAATGATCATTGAGACATTGCTTTGGAAGAGCCCGCACTGGAAACTGGTGTGTAGTCTCTCACTAACACACTTGAACACAGCCCAGTTTCCCTCTGGCCTTGGAAGTTACCACCTTTTTAACTGAGCAGCAGGTGAAGTAGCTGGCTGAGTTACAGGGTCGTAGTGTATGAAAATTAAGTCCCCCTGAGGTCTGGAATCACAGGTGGCTCCATGAAATACTCACATGTGGGGCCTGGGTCTGACTGAGAGAGCTGCAGGTTTACACACTGCATCTGTCACTCACCGAGGGAGATGCTGGGCAGAATCCCCTGCACTATTTAAGTTGTTTGGTTTCTGGTTCAGCATGAATACTTGCACTCTCTACCAAGTGCCTCATTTGTAGGTCTTGCCATAGTTCTAACACACATGGGTTTGTGTGCAGATTGTCACTTAACCCAACTACAAGCTGCACGTGGCAGGGACTGGGTGGGTGTGACTGCATCCACAGTGTCTGGCACACAGGAGACTTCACTAAGTACTTGTTTAAAAACTGCTTTGCCACCTACTCCATGGAACACTAGGCTTCTGGGGAGATGCTTCAGAGTTCTGCCAACATTTGATTGACAGTTCATTTAAAACATGTTTAGGGGCACCTGGGTGGCTCAGTCGGTTAAGCGTCTAACTCTTGATTTCAGTTCAGGTCATGATCTCAGGGTTGTGAGATTGAGCCCCATGTCAGGCTCCATGCTCAGCATGGAGTCTGCTCATCCCTCTCCCTCTGCTCCTCCTCCCTTTTGCGTGCGCTCCCTCCCTCTCTCTTTCTCTCCCTGTAAAATAAAATCTTAAAAAAGAATGTTTAAACTGTTGAAATTCTATTAAAACTTCGGCACTTGGGGCGCCTGGGTGGCTCAGTTGGTTAAGTGACTGCCTTCGGTTCAGGCTGTGATCCCAGGGTCCTGGGATCAAGCCCTGCGTTGGGCTCAGCACTCTGCAGGGAGTCTGCTTCCCCCCTCCCCCGCCCCGGTCTCAAATAAATCTTAAAAAAAAAAAAAAACTTACGCACAGTTAGATGTGCTTTATTTTTTTTTTTTTAAGATTTTATTTATTTATTAGAGACAGTGAGAGAGGGAACACAAGCAGGGGAAGCAGGAGGAGAGAAGCAGGCTCCCCGCTGAGCAGGGAGCCCAATGCGGGGCTCAATCCCAGGACCCTGGGATTATGACCTGAGCTGAAGGCAGACGCTTAACGACTGAGCCACCCAGGCGCCCCTAGATGTGCTTTATTTATAGTACATGTCAGTGGATTGAACACTATTAGTTTTGTCAGGTTACCTTGTTCTTGTGCAGTTCTTGAAATAAAGCCAGCAGTTGAAAGACTCTTAGCATCACAGCTGCTTATGTTCATTCAGCAGTCAACAGGAAAACCCTCAGAAATAAATGCAAAGGCAGCTGAGCCTAATAGGTTAAGTGGCAGGCCTTGGAACAGTCAGCTGCCTTGAGATCTCCCTCTCTCCATGTTTTCCTAGCTGTATGACCTCAAGCAAGGTAGTAGACCTCTCTGAGTCAGGGTCCTCATCTGTAGTGGAGGGATAGGGAGACACTTGAGAGGAGTGGATGCAGTGAAGCAGAGGAAAGGGCTTATAGGGCTTAGTCAGTGTTCGCTGTTACAGCTGTTGTTACTGTTGCTATTTCATCTTTAACCCCAAATGTCAAAATTTTGAAGAGTCTTCATTTATTCGTTGATTGAATTTATAAGTTAAGGGCTGCCGTATGTAAGTTTCCCCAAAATGCCCTTTGCTTAAAGGTGTGTGTCGGGGATAAAACCTTTGGTTTAGACTAAGAGAGCGCTAGTGCTTTAGCCCAGCTTCCCCCATAATCTGTCACTCAGAAACCTTCACATTGAATTCGATCTCTAGGGTTAGGATCCTTTGGCTTCCTCACGTCTGCCTGCATAATCCTCTTCTCTTTTCTGCCCAGGACTCTTACTGAAATTTGACTTAAGAAACGGTCATGAAAGAAACCTTTCCTTAAAACTGCAAGTAAAGACTTCTTCATGTGTTCATTCCACAGACTTCTTGCACTCCTATAATGAGCCTGGCACTGTGGTGAAACGCTTTTACCTATTGTCCATGACCAAGTGAATCTTCCCAGTGGCCCTAGGAGGTAGGATGTCAGGTAGCTTGTCCAGGGGTGTGTGCTCTTGGCCTTTGGCACCAAGAACCCTTCTCCTTTCTGATAATGGGCTACTATTCTGTCACAAAGTTTTCACCTCTGCCTTGGCTGCCCAGAAGCTTCCTGACACAGCGCTGCCTTAGCTTTAGCCCAGCTTTTCCTTTGTTGCGTTGGTGCCCCTCCCTCTCTTGTGACTCTTCTTTTTTCTTGTTTGTGTTAGCTTTATTTAATTTTTCGGAATAGGATTATTCTCAGCCACTCAAAATTTGGGCAAATTTTGAAGAATGACATATTTTACGTTTTTAAAAAAATTTTATTGAGAGCGAGAGAGGGCAAGAGAGAGAGGGCAAGAGAGCACAAGCAGGGGGAGCAGGCTCCCTGCTGAGCAGGGAACCCAACGCAGGACTCAATCCCAGGACCTGAGATCATGACCTGAGCCGAAGGCAGACGCTTAACCAACTGAGCCACCCACGCGCCCCCATAGTTTACATTTTTATCCTAAAAATATCTTGCAGTTGTTTGAGTGTGAAACTTAGAAAAGAAGGGTGGGCAGGCAAAAACCTTCTTGAAAAAGTGATTGAAGTGTAGTATTTGGGGGCGGCTGGCTGGCTCAGTTGTTAAGTGTCTGCCTTTGGCTCGGGTCATGATCCCGGGGTCCTGGGATCGAGTCCCGCATCGGGCTCCCTGCTCCGCGGGAAGCCTGCTTCGCCCTCTGCCTGCCACTTCCCCTGCTTGTGCGCTTGCATGTGCGCACGCGCGCTCTCTCTTTCTGACAAATAAAAATATTTTTTTTAAAAAGTGTAGTATTTGATTCTAGGGGTTTTTTTTTTGGACTGAGAAAGGTCATGGACAGCTTTCAGGTATGGTTTTCCTTTTATTTTTATTTTTATTTATTTTTTCTGGTTTTCCTTTTAAATTAAGAATCCAGATGCTCATGGAAGTCATATTTATTCACATTTTAATTTTTGTTTTTACTCTTAAAACTATGAAAACAAATTAAACGTACATTGCTAAGATGAGCTTTCTAATTTTTTCTTTGCAGATAATGATGCTGCTTGAGCTGAACAATTAAGGTAACATTTATGACCTATGTAATATGCTTTTCTTATTCAGGATTGTTTATCAGATTTAGCTGAATTGTTAAAGACGTGTTTTAACCTTGGTGAGGTTGCTTGTGGGCAATCATTCCGAACTGTGTAGTAAAAAAGACTTCACATTATATTTTAAGGTAAGTTCTGAAAATAACATAACAGGATACCTTTATTCATTCATCTTATGCTGAAGTTTCAAAGGGTTTTACTCTTTTTAGAAAGGAAAAAGGGAGTATTTTTAATGTCTCCAAGCCAGTTATGGTTATGTTAATGTATAGATTGCCTGAAGCTAGCTTTTGTTGGATTCAGTGGGAAATAAGATGGTTTATATCGTTATCTGTATTGCCATGTATGTTTATATACGACTCTACAGTAAGAATCAAAGAAATGTTTGTATATATATTGTTTTAGCAAATGCCAGCATCCTTGCAAAGAGGGTATCTGCAAGGCCCCAAATTATAGATGGGAATTGTAAAAAATCATACCCCACTTCCTGGTGTATGGGTCTAGCATACCCCAGATTTGTTTAATCAGAATAATGGCACCAACTAGGAAATACTACATTATTATGAAAAAAGAAAAGGACTGTGTCAAAGTGTCCTGATAAAATTATAAATGACAAATCTCAAGGAATGTCTAAGATTAAATTTGGTAGATATATGCAACCAGTCACCTGGGGAGAGGTTATTAGATTGCATAATCTGGTTTATAATTTGATGTGAAGATCCTAACAATTCAGTGCTGTGCAATAAAACTTTGTGTCTGGTAAGGTAATTAGAGACTTACTCAAATACTGGGACAAATGATATACTAGAATCACACACATCTCTTACATCCTTAGAACACAGAATGGAACTTTTGTGTTCATGTATCTTGAAAATCTTGTGAAAGGAACAGTCTTGGAATGGGGGCTGCTGGGGAAGGTTCCTGGTGTTGGTGATGACCATGCTGAGTGGTTCCGAGGGCTCAGCCGTTAGTTAGGTGAAGTGGGGTAGGATCACCAGCAGAGGAAGCAGCATGTGCCAGGGCCAAGGCAAGGGAGAGCAAGGGAGCTGAGCAAGTGGAATTGAATTTCAGTTCCATCTGATTGTGCATTTGTCAATGACTGAAGCCAGAAATGGGGAGCAGGGCTAGGTGTCTTGTCTTAGAAGTTGGACTTAGATCTGAAAATCTGGAGAACCACTGAAGAGTGTTAAGGATAGGGCCTTAGACCAGTGCTTTTTCCTCATCTCATAATAGCTGGTATGCAATGTTGGTTTTGTTATTCTTTTTTTCTATAAATTGAAATTGTTTAAGCAAGATTGCAAAGTTAAACAAAGGAACAGATTTACCAAGTTGTTACCTCTGTCAGGAGATTTAAGGGGTTTGGGATTGTTTCGATTTCCTCTCTGACATGAATTTAGTTTGGACATTGAGCAGAGCAATCCACTGAAGTCAAAAAAGTCTCCAAGAGGTAAGTACTTTGATTGCCTCACAGTTTTGTTGGCCACTTTAAATTGTATCAGTTATAGTAGTAATTATTGTAGTAGTAACTTAAAAGAGCCAATAAGAGTTACAGACAAGTTCTACAGGTTTTACCAGAATAGTGTATCATGTAGTTGGAAATGCAGAATTCTTACACATGACAGGAAGTATTTAATTCCATTATACTGGGTCACATTTGCATATAACCAGGAGAGAGCCAGATAATGTTTACTGCAGTGAATTTCCAAATCCATCCTAGTCAATTAATAATTATTGTTCATGTCTTCATTACTTTCCCATTGATGGATTCACAATATATCCAGTTTCATGTTAAAGTTAATAACCATTTTTGCTCTAGAACTGTGCTGGCCACTACAACTATTGCCTCTAAATGTGGCCATTCAAATTAGTTATGATTAAATAAAATTTAAAATTCGGTTCCTCATTCCTTCCAGCCACGTGTCAGATGCTCAGTAGTCATGTGGCAAGTGGCTGCCATAATGGACAGTGCAGATGGAGGACATTTCCATCATTACAGAAAATTTCGTTAGTGCTATTCCAAAGATTGTCTCCTTTTATAAATTTTAATGTACTTAAAAGCCATGTAATAGTGAAGTATTTACAGATTAAATGATACAATTTGATTCAAAATAACTGGGGAGAATTGGGAGTTACGGAAGAAACAGGATTTGTCATAAGTTGGTAATTGGTGAAGCTAGGTTGGGGATCCATGGGGGTTTCATTATATTATTCTCATTATTCAGAAATTTTGTGTATGTTTGAAATTTTCCATAAGAAAGAAGAAAAAGAGAAGCCTTAAATAGGAACAGTGCTCCTGTTGGTACTTAAAAGTAGCCATCTGAGGACCCTGAGCCCAGGGTCCTGGGATCGAGTCCCGCATCGGGCTCCCTGCTCAGCGAGGAGCCTGCTTCTCCCTCTGCCTGCCGCCCCCCTGCTTGTACTCTTGCACTCTCTCTCTCTCTCTCTCTGGTAAATAAATAAAATCTTAAAAAAAAAAAAAAAAAGTAGCCATTTGTAAATGGGCATCTGAAATTCTACCCCACACAGGCTGGTGCCTGTGGTGTAGGGAAATGTGTAATCCTGCCCCGGGGCTTCCCCAAAAGGGTACATAGAGTACTGCATTTTTTTTTTTTTTTAAGGTTTTATCTATCTATCTATCTATCTATCTATCTATCTATCTATCTATTTATTTATTTAAAGATTTTATTATTTGAGAGAGAGAGAGAGCACAAGAGGGGGGAGGGTCAGAGGGAGAAGCAGACTCCCTGCTAAGCAGGGAGCCCGATGTGGGACTCGATCCTGGGACTCCAGGATCATGACCTGAGCCGAAGGCAGTCGCTTAACCGACTGAGCCACCCAGGCGCCCCATTTTCTTTCTTTCTTTCTTTTTTTATTATTTGAGAGAGAGAGAGATTATTTATTTGACAGAGAGCACGAGCAGGGGGTAGTGGCAGAAGGAGAGGGAGAAGCTGAGTGGGGAGCCCGATGCGGGGCTCCATCCCAGGACCCTGGGATCATGACCTGAGCTGAAGGCAGATGCTTAACCAACTGAGCCACCCAGGCAACCCTAGAGTACCACATTTTTAAGATTTGTGTCATTCCCTCTGAAAACACAGACGTGACAGCCCAGGTTCATATTTATTAAGAGTTAGAACTGCCCAAATGAGTCTTGTGGGCAGAATGTGCTAGATTATGATATTTTGTTAAAAAATTCCATTGCTGCTGACATTAATTTTAGCCAAGTCCAAATCGTGTTCCTAATGAAGAGAATGGAGTCCATTTACTCAGGCATTGCTTATTTTTGTTCACAGCCAAATCAGTCAGCTTCTGTCTCTGGTTTCCTGGTTACCAGCTCCTATGGTGATAGCGTTGGAAGAGAGAAAGGGGAGGTCATTGAGAAAACCCTTGGCACAAGACGAAAGCCATCAGTAAAACTGCCACTGTGCCACCAAAGGGCTGTTTGAAGTTGTTACAAACACCTGCCTACTTTGGTCTCCTACTGCATGTCTAAGAAATGGGAGCAGGGCTTATTGTGCATAGAGAGGGATGGTTGAGAGCAAGGTGTTTGGGGTGAGACTTGGCTTTGAGTGCCTGCCTCAGTCAGCTTGGGGGAAGAGCGAGCCCTGACTGGCTGTGTCAGGGAGTACCAGTAGGGTTGTGGCTGCTGTGTGGTCGAGCGCTCAGCGTGTGACAGCTCTTGCATTAGGCATTTTCTGTACAGAAAAGACTGGGGACTCTGCGCTTTATTTCCCTTACACACTGATATTCATAGAATCATGTAGAGAAATGTACAGGTCTAAAGCAATGTAATGGTACCTCTTTATTTTACAGGGTTCTAAAGTCAAAATCGTGAGATTAATAATGGCAGGAAAATCTTCACTTTTTAAAGTAATTCTCCTTGGAGATGGTGGAGTTGGGAAGAGCTCTCTGATGAACAGATATGTGACCAATAAGTTTGATACCCAGCTCTTCCATACAATAGGTGTGGAATTTTTAAATAAAGATTTGGAGGTGGATGGACATTTTGTTACCATGCAGATTTGGGACACGGCCGGTCAAGAGCGATTCAGAAGCCTGAGGACACCATTTTACAGAGGTTCTGACTGTTGCCTGCTCACTTTTAGTGTCGACGATTCTCAGAGCTTCCAGAACTTGAGTAACTGGAAGAAAGAATTCATATATTACGCAGATGTGAAAGAGCCCGAAAGTTTTCCTTTCGTGATTTTGGGCAACAAGATTGACATAAGTGACCGTCAGGTGTCTACAGAAGAAGCCCAAGCCTGGTGCAGGGACAACGGCGACTATCCTTACTTTGAAACAAGTGCAAAAGATGCCACAAATGTCGCAGCGGCCTTTGAGGAAGCAGTTCGAAGAGTGCTTGCTACTGAGGATAGGTCAGATCACCTGATTCAGACAGACACGGTCAGTCTGCACCGAAAGCCCAAGCCTAGCTCATCTTGCTGTTGATCGTTAGAGAGGTTGCCCATGCGATCTAACCAACTTACACACATTCACAGAAAAACAAAACACGGTGGAGAAGAGAATTAGCATTTGCAGCAATGGATCATCTACTCATAAAATTAAACTAACCATATTGCTGCTTTGTTAGTGGGTGGGAGAAGGGACACATCCACTCATGGAAGAATCAATGTACTCAGTAGTGGCACCTTACATTTATAAATTGTAATGGTTGTCTAATAACATTTAATTTAAATATGTACCTTGCAGAGCTAATAAATGAGATGATCAGTACTTTAATTATAATTAAAACACTTGAATATTCTGGAAGTTATTGTTTGTTTTTCCTGGGAAAATGGAGAACTACTTTTTATATGTGTATATTTTTATGTAATTAGCATTCAGTTCCTGGTTGAGGGGAAAAAAGATTCCCTAAAGCAATAATGTTAATAAAGATTAAAACCTAATGTGTTTGCATTGCAGTTATTTGATTACTTCTTCATTCTCTTTAAAATTATTTAAGTGTTCACATTTTCATTCTCCATGTCAGAATTGCTCTCACTAGTAATCACTTGTTGTGCCCCCACCCCCAAAACAGAAGCCAACTTTATCACTCTTGGAGGAAATACTAAGGATTGTACTTGTGTGAGGGTAAACGACATCTTTGTTTGGTCACATATGTAATGCCTTCTCTGTCATTGAACACTGTTTAGTGATTTGCTCTCAAGGAGATTTTGATAAAGCGAATTGTAGTCTTTCGCGGGTAAAGTTCATGCTCTGCCATGTGTGCCTATCCCATCCTACAGAAGCAAACCAACCCACTGTGGGTTACCAGAACATGCTGGGGCAGGGTTATCATGCCCTGCTCATTGGGAGCCACTGAAAAAGAATAGCAGTATCATTCAGTAAGCTAAGCTTTTGAAAGTCTAATCTAACACAGAATAGACAATTTGGCTATATGAAAAACATTTTAACATTTTGAATTTGGGGAAATTAAATCTCTTCATAGTTTCAGGTTAGAGACAGTTTTTGTTTTTATTACTTATTATCAGTCCCCCCTCCCAAAACTGTAATCCTCCATCAAAAAAACAAAATAAGAATCCAATAACAAATTGGAGTATATTACATACTCTTTGTTTTTTTCTCTAGGGGATTTGCTTTTTTTTTTTTCCAATCAAAAGTGTCCCCATTGTTTTGTGACTTGCTGTTTCCTCGTAATATATGTGGACATACTTCCATTATAGTATATCTACCGCATTTATCAGCTGTACGGATGTTTACCAATTTATTCAAACCGTTCTCTAGTGACACATCCAGCAGCAATATCTGAAAGTGCCAGTTTCCCACACCTTGTTCAACAGTGGGTATTCGGAGTAAATTTTTTGTTCATTTTTTAAATAGATGAGTCACGTTTCAAAATCGTAAGACTTAAGAGACAGATATCTATACCCTTGCCACCCAGTTCCTGTCCGTGGAGGCAGCATGTGTCAGTTTCTTGGGTATCAAGCTAGATATTTAGTATGTAAGGGAAGCATATCATATTAGTTTGCTAGGGCTGCCACAACAAAATGCAGACTGGGCGGCTTAAACAATGGGAATTTTTCTCACAGTTCTGGGGCTGTATGTCCAAGATCAAGGTGTTGGTAGGTTTAGTTTCTCCTAAGGTCTGTGACTTGCAGATGACCTTTCCTCTGTGTACAGCACCCCCCACCCCCCACCATGCCACCATGTCTCTGCATCCAAATTTCTTCCTCTCATAAGGACACCAGTCAGATTGGATTAGGGCCCACCCTAGTGGGCTCGTTTGGACTTAATCACCTCTTTTTTTTTTTTTATAGAAAATTTATTTTATTTTATTTTATTTATTTATTTGACAGAGAGAGACACAGCGAGAGAGGGAACACAAGCAGGGGGAGTGGGAGAGGGAGAAGCAGGCTTCCCGCGGAGCAGGGAGCCCGATGCGGGGCTCGATCCCAGGACCCTGGGATCATGACCTGAGCTGAAGGCAGACACTTAACGACTGAGCCACCCAGGCGCCCCTGGACTTAATCACCTCTTTAAAGGCCCTGTCTCCAAATACAGTCACATTCTGAGGGACTGGGGGCTAGGGCTGCAACATACGGATTTTGGGGGACACAATTCAGCCCATAATACATACGTATGTGTGTAGGTATTTACCTAATGTGTAATTTTGATTCCTGTATAGATTTAACTACTACTTTGCTGGTTTTTAAAAAACTTATAAGCCGCTTTTCAGTAATCTTTTTTTCAGCTAAATATTCAAGAGGTCTAGAGCTGGGAAGCAAAAAATGGTCAAGGAAACAGATCTTCATGTGTATAAAGACAGGCTGGTGGGAAAGGAGAGTAATCCAGTTTAACACCGTGGACTCAAAGGGATCCAGTGAACAGGAGCTAGCTGACCAAGCACAGTACTGAAATGTGACCACTAAGGAGGAACAAAACCTGGCAGTAGCTCCGGCCTTCAAAGATACTACAACAAACCGATGGGACAAGCTCTTCAACAAGCAGCGAAAGGTAGCTGCAGGTCTGACGCTCTTGTTTTTAGGAAGTAAAAGGTCTTTTGATTGGCTGGTGTTACCTAAACAAAGATGAGAAATATTGAAAAAACAAAGAGTTGGGGAAGAAAGCAGTTGGCGCCGGAGGCGGCCAGGGTTGGTGGAAGGAAGTAGCTGCAGAGCCCCCAGGAAGCCGGCAGAAGGGAAGAACGGTGTGCATGCCCCCCATTCTGGGGAGGAGAGGCCCCAGGGTTCCAGTGCCCCTGCTCGCCACAGGGCGTCGGGCCGGCTCTGACAACGTGAGCTTCTGTGGTCTACTCGCGCAGGGCCGTCGAGACAGCTCAGTGGTAAGAACAAGGCAAATGACTGAACTTGGAGAACGGACAGATGTATGTTTGCAGCCCACGTAGCAAATACAGTGTGCAGTGTGGAAGATGGAAAAGTACAGTTCCATCAGTGGGGTAATGTCTTTGTCACCTTGTGAAACATTCCCTAGTTGAAGTGAAAACATCCTAGATGTCCCTTAAGAGAAAACCTTGAGTTTTACATTCCTGTAAAAATGTGTGTAAGCTTTCCCTTGAGTATCATGACACCGTGGACACCAGTGGCTTGTGGGGCAGTGGAGTAGAAAAGTGGACCTGCGTACTGTCTGTGGATTCTGAGAAGCCACCACTGCGGACTGGCAACCAGAAAGGGCTGACATGACTGAAAAGTGAAAGAAGACGGGTGTAGCGTGGGCAGAGCAGAAATCCACTCTCTCTCTACATACATGGAAAACGTGGGCACCAAGCATCTAGGGAACGAAAGAGGACAATATCAGAACTGTGCATTTTCTTTGGGTCCCTTTGGGCGTGCTAACGTAGATTAGCACTGACCTAGTGCTGACACACTACACTCAGTGGGGCCTCGGGCCCAGGGTTGCTAATGATGTCATCCTGTTGCTATTGTGTTCCTGAACCTTGCGTGACATCACCTACTACCAGATCTAAGATTTGCCGGCTCTTGAGCTTGCTTAACTGCCAGCCCCTGGTTTTTCCCTTTACACCAGCTCTGGTTCTGTCCTAGCCACGTGCCTGGTGCTGCTTTTCTCCACACCTTCGTGGCCCACATGCTCTTGCAGTGCAGCTCACGTCTGATGTCCCATCCGCCCCCATGCTTGTCAGTGGACTTGCTTCAGGCTCCTTCAGAGACGCAGTCACACACACAGTTGGTGCTGAACTACAGTAACACACATAGGGCTTGTGTTGCTCGTTGCCGTCTCACCCTCACGAGCCTAGAGGAAAGGATCATGGTTTGCAAGGCACCCTCCAACGTCCTGCTGCAAACAGCCTGCTGCTCCTGGCAGCCCGCGTCACAGCTCTCTGCACTGTATGTTTACTGGGGGCAGAGCAAACGGTCTACGGCAAGAACACACCGGCGTCTCTCCAGTGAGCGTGGCTGAAGCCCCTCCTAGATGTCTAGCGGGACTCTCTGCTCCCAAAGCTCTGGCACCGAGCTTGAGGTGATCTGAGTTCTAGCAAATGGGTTAAGATAATAGTTGGTAGACTCTCAATAGGGGAAAGAGGACTGAAACAGCGGTAGCAGCGTGAGCGTAACACTTTAAAAATTCAACTAAACTTCCACAGTCTTGGACAAACATCTTTATTTAAGAAATCCAATAAATAGATGGGGTAAAAAATCACGGTAGCAACTTCACACAAGGGTATGAGACCAAACTTAGAACTACTTGCTCAAGTTACTCAGGAAAGAACAAAATTAAGTGCTCACAATTAGCACAGAAAATATATGGTTCTAGTACTTGTTTTTAAACAGACATTTACTAGTTTACAGTAAGATCCCACTTGTTACAGGCCACTCCCCACCCCCTTGGTGTACAGCCTAAAAAAGCTAAGAATGCAAATGCTAATGTAATATAAACTTTTCTTTGTTTACAATTCCAGAATTACAACTTTTTACTGGTATAACTATCAACAGGTTCACTTAGTTTACTGTCGGAGGGAAATGCAATACAAGAACACAACCTGTCACTTTGGTCCCGGCCTCCCATTTTACAAACATGGATTCAGGGTTCCGGCTTTATAGCGGAATCACTTTGACAGAGGCAGGCCTGTGGCATCTGGCACTGCAAAAGCTGTTTGCTCCGGCTTCTTGGGCAGTGCTATGTGTACTGTGCGTATGGTTTTATAACAATATCTCTAGATGTGCAGAAGCCCATGCACGTGCTATCAGCTTCATTCCCTACTGCAGAAACTTTTAGTTTTAAATCTGTCTACCAAAATCTTGACCATGACATTTGGTTCTGAATTGTGACATCAAGATCAAGCGGTCTGAATATGAGTAAAGTCAAAAGCTCATTCTTAATTTTTAGAAGAAAGATATTTTCAAGGTTATAGAGAGTTTATAAATAACACTGTTCACAAGCAAATATTGATCTGTTGATAATCGTAAGAAACTCAATGTACTGTTTTAAAATAATAAGGAATTTCATTAGGTTTAGATAAATTTAGACTACAAGCAAAACTTTTCCAGGCTATTTCGTCAAGTTACTTACAACATACACATTCCTGAGAATACCCCATTGTAGTGACATTGTTTATTTCCAGATTTTTCCACATTCAACTTAAAAGGTGTTTCTTCCCAAGAAACTGAACTTTTCTGTCAAATGCGCTTGATCGAATAGGAGAATTGGGTTCATAAAATGGATTCATTGCAAACTAGGAAAGAAGAAGGTATTAGTAAGCTTGTTGAAGTACAAAGACTGACAAATCATAGATCTCTAGAAGGAAATTATTTTAAAGTTCTAAATTAAATCATCAAAGACATCTAAAACAGAAGTCTGAAGACCACATTTTTAAGTTTCAACAAAAATGTTCCATTGTTAAATAGTAATGCCCCCTTGAGATTTTTGTCTTAGTGTTTTAGTTTTGAGAACTACCTGTGGCAAAACTAAT